AGGGGTTGTGTGACTGCAGCTCTATTTTTAACCAGGCTCTTCATCATTGGCATTCGTGGCACATAGAAACCACTGCACCCCTTCCTCTGTGCAGAGGGAATGCCTCAACTCACCATCCATCACGCCTGCCTTTAAGCAGAATTCAAAGAGTTTCAAACTACATCCTCAGCCTCACATTCTCAAGTCTCCTTTCACACACATCTGTCTGCATCGATGTTGCTGTCACTCATTCTGTCAGATATCAAAGAGAGCCTCTCACTTGCACCCAATAGAACATGTCAAGACCCAGGTCAGGATTAGCTGAACTTTACCAAGTTGGTTTGAGAAAATCCCTTTCTGTTTGGAGCTTATATTTGTCTTTCAAAGAATGGAATGGTGCTGCGTTGTGCCAAGTGTTGTGTTTGTCTGTAATTTGTTTAAAGTGGAATAGAATCAACGATGTTTGGTGTCAGCTCAGCCTGAATGAGGACCCTTGTCTCTACTGATCATTGAGCATGAACTAAAGGCCTGTTCGCTGCAGGAATTCATTAAGTTTGTGTCCTTTTAAGGCTTTTTTGAGAACATGAATGGCGCACTTTGGATTCAAATCCTATTTCAATGCTCCTGGGAGAGCAAGCAGGACGTTTGAGTGTTGATTCTGAAACTCTGACATCATTATAGCTTTAAGGATTAGGGGTCAAAGACTTGTGCTTCAGGCAGCAGGAAAACAAATGGGTTTTGCTTCCAATGTCTCTGTAATTGTGTATTGACACACATACATGAGGTCAGCAGGTCATTGAGCATGTCCTAGACAGCAGTCAGTTACTGATATGAAATCATCCTGCATGCTCTGTGTTGTTGGGGCTACATTGCATTCTGTTCATCTGGATGATGTCTTTCCTTTTTTATCTCAGCTAAGCAAAGCTGTGTATTGATCACAACTTGGTCTTTGATCACGCCCTGCATGCTTATTACCTAGAGTGCTTCGGAATGACCTCAATAGCCCTGCTAACAAAGCTGGGATGGATTCCAATCTGCACTTACTCTACTGTTATGCTGTGTTGTAAAAAGAGTGAAGATGTGATTGTTCTTGTGTGGCTGAAGAGAAATTTACAGTTGTTTATACAGGGATCCAGCAGTTTTTTGTTAAGAATGAGAATGAGTTCTGATTTTGTTTTGTTTTACTTGTAATTTGATTACATTTATCAGTGTTATTTCATCCAAATCAAGACTGTGTTTCCAAATGAATCAAATAAACCAACCAGGATTCATTAAAAAGCCTGCTAGTCTACCAAAACCCTGTTTTTTACCATATGGATTGAAAGGCAATCTAAAGCACACTGTTAAACTGTCAACAGTTAGACAGACGTGTGTCCTTCAAGGGTAGTTTTGAGGAGGCATGATAATTAATTAAATTTGTCTTGACATTCTTTCTGTGTGACAGACTGACAGGGTCTTCTCTCACACTACACCAAGTGAAGACAGAGCACTGTCCTTGAACTCCAAGCTTCACTTTGTGCTTAGACTAAAGCTAACAAATGGTATAAACATGGAAAGTTTACGCAAAAGATAGAAATAAGTAGCTTGTGGTAAACCAGCAATGCTTTCTGAAACATAGGCTACCATAGCATGTAAACCAGCATTATTTAGTCGATACTAGACCGTGTGATGGGGATGGGCCGTGTTGTTTTATTATTATGGCAGAATTGTGGACATTTGAACTCAACTCGTAGTGCTCGTGCTGCTCAAATCAAGCAGCTTATTGAGGAATAGTGTGCTATTACTTTTGGGTCAGCTGGAATTTTTCTGCAAATCTTTTCTTTAACATTTCCCTTTCAGTTTCCGACAGTTTTCACCACACTGAAGTTAAAACACTTAGAGTGTGCATATTTCAAGTCGATGAGACTGCAAGTCTACATCGAGCATGACTGATCACATGATCAGCCTTAAGAAGCTTTTTAAAAGCAAGACTTGACTTGAAAATCAGATTTTGCTATTTTAACAACTAATGACATTAAATAATCCACATGAAAATTGAGAGGATTTTTCCGTTTCCAACACTGACACTTTATATGTTCATTTAGAAAAAAGTTCATATTGTGATTAACGGTGGCACCACAACAGGTTCTGATGGGTGGAGAGTTGCAGTGACATCATTTCTTAAATGTAATGTTATTTGTTGTTAGGATTTATTGGCATCATATGTGTTGCTTGTTTTGTATGTAATAATGTTATAATGCCACAAATGTAAGCTTTTCATGATAATGGTGTTCTGTACAGTGGAGAGTTTAGCGATTAACAAATGTTGGGTAAATAACGCCAGCTGCCAGCACTCACAAATTTCCGTCAAATTTTAGTTTGTTTATATTTAATGTATTTTTAAAATAAGGAAATCTATGAAATTTAAAATATAATTGAGTTAACCCAGACAAGCTCCTGGAGAACCGCAAGCATGGAGAAACCTCTACTCATAAAATCCCACACTGCCATCGAACTTGCAGATTTTGAAACAAGAGGCTGCAGAGCATACATTGCCCTAAAAGATAATCAGGGGATGCTATTGATGAAACAGTAGCGGGCATTTGTACTCAATCAACTTAGAAGACAAATGATGGTGTATCAGGAAGTCATTCATTCATTTTCCATCCGGTTTATTTCCTTTCGGGGTCACGGGGTCTGCTGGTGAGAGGCGGTGGTACAGCCTGGACAGGTCGCCAGTCCATCGCAGGGCAACATACACTCACACATTTACACCTAAGGGGGAATTTAGATTATTCAATTAACCTAATCACATGTTTTGGGGATTTTGGGGGAAACCGGAGTACCCGGAGGAAACCCACGCAAGCACCGGGAGAACATGCTAAATCCTTCCAGGTAGGTCACTGAAATTGGCAAGGACTCTGGTCACACTGTCATGGATTGACTGGGTGGCTGTTTGAAACAAGTGTGTTTCACATGTCCAGCGGAGTGAAGCAAAACCACAGCGAGCGCCTCCTTGTGGCTGGCTTTGGGAAAAAGTAAAACTTCAAAACTTATTTCCTCATATCTTGTGTTATTAACGGACTTAATGATTTTCAAAAATTACCTATACAGTGAACAAAGTTCAATAGTTTTTTTTTTTTTTCAGTCTAGCTCATGATGGCCCAATTTTTCCCCTAAAAAACAAAGCGTATGTGATTGATAGCTGTGATTGACAGCTTCACAAAAACGACTGCTGTAATCATGTCGTAAAAATAAATAATAATAATTATGCAGCCAATGATCAAATTCTTGATTATAATTGCAAAATAAGTTATATAAAACAGATTGGGTGTGAGAGGTGCATGTGCGAGCCAGAGTTCGGGCGAAGCTCTATGATGGTGTCATCCTTTTCAGTTAGTCGCATATGCGCCCTGTAATGGCAGCACTCAGGTCAGCTTGGCTATTGCCTCATATTAGCCCAATCTACATATTAGCCCATATTACAGTCTATTGTAAAAGTTCTAAGATCTTTTCATTTGGCTGTGGCACATTATGACTGCACAGTGTGGTGCAGTGACTCCGGTTTAGAGCCTTAGTGAAAGACGGTGTAAATATAATGAAAATATATATCAGCACATTCAAATTTACAGACTTTGAAATTTATTTTTAATGATGTTTATCATACAAAAATATTATAATATCTCAGATTTGAGGGTTTCATGACCCTTTAAGGCTTCAATTTTATTCTGATTCGTGGTAAGACTCTGTTTCAAATTTGTATGAAAAGATTGTCTCATAGAGAAACATTTTCGTTTGTGTTGACTCAAATAAATATAAATATTCACTAAAATATTCAATATTCAAAACCAATCAAATGCATTTCTCACAACTCAAAAACATTTAAAACCACAATGTTTTTTTTATTATTTAAAAAATTACAAGATCCATATGTGAGTGGACCTCAAAAAATAGAAAACAGCAGGTCATGACCAATGGAAGAATGTCTCAATGAAAACAACAATATTTTGATGTTCTTTAAGAAGAACGTTATTAGCGTAAAATTTTATTGCTTTGTAGTCTATTTATTTTATTTGCAATAACCACATGCTAGCTTTGAAATCCATAGCAAAGGTCTAATGTTATGGAGAGAGTGTGAGAAACACATTAACTTCCAAAAAACAACAGTTCTCAAACGTGAACGAGCTGTTTATTTTCATTGATCGATTTTGTTACCACAGCAGCTTGTATTTAACAGCCACATATTTGTTTTTCGATATGTCTACAGTGTCATTTATCCAGTGCCAGAGTTAATGGAGAAAGTGTTCTCTATTGATGGGATCAGGTTTCCAGTTCTCAAGACGCTGTCTGGCTTAACAGTGTTATAGAATCATAATTGTGAGAAGTATGGTATGAAGCAGCCTAAACCTGAAAATGAATGCAGCTCTGTGCCTTCTGTTCTAGAAATGAACACGGTGATGCTAGCATTTATTTTCAGGCTTCATTAGTCTGTCTGCCAGTGACTGCTGGTGCTGGCTGCAATCATAATGTCCTTCAGCAAGGTCAGCCCTCATGCCAAACACTCTTCTAACCTCCAGACAGTCAACAGAGACAATGCTTCCTTTACCTTAGCATTTATTTTATACAATTTTTTAAATCTGTATTTCCTCCACTATTTGTTTTGAGCATCGTCTTTCTCATTCCATTGCAGTCCCTATGTCTTTTCCTTTTTGTTTCTCACCTAATCTCACTCTCTCTGCAGCAGATGCTGTTCCCATAGCAACTAGACGAGCTAGATCTCGATCTGATATTTAGCACATTAGTTGACTTTCCAGTTTAGAATTCTAATGAGAGATGAAGAGAGAGCAGTGCTTCTTTAAATAGCTTTGTTTCGAGGTAAAGGCTACTAAGAACTGTTAGCTGAGGTGATGGTGCATAAATGTGTATGTTACAGTAGCTAAAGTGGTAAATGTTTTCAATCCCTAACATTAATTAAATATTTAATCTTTTATTTGCTAGATGCTTTTATCCATTTCAAAGAAATAACACATTTCGTAAGGTCTTGTTTTCCCTGGGGTTTGAACCCACAACCTTTGTATTGCTAGCTTAATGCTTTACTGACTTAGCCACAAGTAAGCTAATCTACATATTTAATGTTTGGATGCACACTCTTTAGATTTTCAAAAATACTTTTTGTTATAAAAAAACTTTTATTTAATGTCCGCAACCATTGTTTACGCCATTAATAAATGTAACTGTCTGATATTGTCAACTAATGTCTTAAAGTTTGTGGTGACTGTAATCTTGAAATTAATCTAGTTTCAAATTGTTCATTTAAATCCTGCCAAAGGCTTTTAGAATATGTGTGGTACCCAAATAATGACTAAGAGTAAGTCTTTGAGAATGGGTTTCTCATGGTAGGTAGCGGCCAGGTGCTAGAGCTGTAATCGGGCCTAAAAAGTTCAAGAGAATTTAGCTTGGTCCAAACTCTTTGTTTGTTTACTGTTCTAATTATAAGCCTGAAGTTCTTTTCGATGCTTTAATGCCAGTCCTTTGCCAATGTAAACATAATAAATTTGTAAATAGTATCTGGGCTGATTACATGACTGAAAATATGACGAAATATGCTAGTGTCTTGTTAGTTAGTGTCTTGAAACCCACATCTCTGCGACTAACCAGAAATGTTGCTCTGTGTTCAAGATGGTTTATGTGAACTGACAGCTGTGAGGCATATTTAGTTTATTAAGGTACGAATCACGCCAATTTCTTGACATTAATTGCTTCAATTTGTATGACAAACTTTATCAGAGACTTTTAACATGATGCCGGATCAATTTAGAACTCAACTAATGCTTTAATTACAAAAACACAAAATACAGATTGTACAGATTGAGTTTTTTTAATAATAATGAATGGATGTCACTTAAGGGTGTCCTTGATGACATTGCTGACTGGTTGTGTGGACATGCAAAAAATATTTTTCGTCAACTCAACTTTCGTAAAACTTCTTGTAAGTAATTTCCTGTAAGTTTAGAGCTTGTATTTATGTTTAAACATGCATGGAACATATATGTTTTATTTGTAGGTCTATTAGAATACTTTTATCTGTGATTTTGTGAGAAGCATAGGTTCAATGTTAGTGAGGGCAGTTAAATCTGCTCTGAGACCGACATCAATCCATAATGCATGTCGGATAGCAAGATGTCGAGTCGCTCTGTGTAAACGTCCGCTGCCGTTCACTGCCATTGTTTGTGTATTTTAATATATGGCAAATGCCAGGGGCAAAAGGTGAGCCGCAGGCATTCTACAGAATCTCAGAGGTCGACCGCACACTATATGGAAATGGGGCAGCATTCACTTTTTACGTTTTAATTTTTACGTTTTCTATGAAAATGCTAAAATGATCCAGTAACCCCCCAAAAAAGTTTGCTGCTGCTGTCTATCTCTCAGACAAAGCCGAGAGTCACTATGGTTACCGATAACAGAGCCTGTGCGGTTATACAAAATTAACACCCACCAGGAATCTGGATCCAGAATTGCAGCATGTTAACGCTAATAAAGGCCCACCAATACTTAACAATAAAAATGTTAAATCCTTAGAGGTTGTTATTGTATTGATAACTAGAGTAAGTTCTCTAATCAGAAATAAACCTTATCAGCTTATCATATTTACACGTATGACTGGATGTTTACAGAGTACATTTAATGTGTCTCTGTCAGCTCTTGATACTTCTTTGGCTCACTGCATTGCAGCCATAGACCATAAAACCAATTGGATGATGCTTCACTGCCATCACTGGGCCCTTTGAGGCCAAAGCGAGAAGGATTTGGTCACCGACAGGAGTCTGCATCTGCTCAAGAGGGCTTGCAGGCAGATCCTTTATATCTACATCCTTGATCTGTTTCCTCCACTCAGCAGTCTCACTTTTTTATCAAGTGAACCACTATTGATCTTTATTTGAACGTACAGATAAACAAAGACAATGCCTTACATGCAGTTCCATTTAAAATAAAATGGCGTAGACTTACATGGGGCTTCCTGTCTCAATTTTTTATGGAGCTTATTAAATACACAGCGGGATTTCAACCCTACCTTGAAATTTTAAACATGCGTTTTTGCTGTTTTTTATGTTTGTTTTCCATTTGACTACGCCATCCTGACAGAAGTCATGTTTGAGTATGCCACTTGTTGTTAATATCCCCTTCAGTTGCTGAATACAGCAGACATGCTTTCCACTTCCATAAAGATCAGATATTTCTTTCTCTGGTGCCATTAAGAGCAATCTACAGAGAAGGGTTCCTCTGCCCAAATCTCCATTTAACCTTCTTTATTGCATTGTTCCATTCAAATCAAACACATACCATACTCTTTACTGCACATCTGTAAAATTATTTAAATTAGGTCTGAAATTGCACAGCAAAAAGTGGAGTGTTGATTTAACTCCCACTGAGTTGATTTAAGCCTTTTTGTATGGTTTATATGGCTCAACCCTTTCTAGAGTTAAATTAACACAATGAAAAATTAGTTTTTAACATCGAGTAAGAGTTAATTAAATAACTCCCAAAGAGAGTTCCGGCAGTTCAGTGAAGTAATGGGTAGCTCTGTGGCCAGTTAGAAGGTTGTCGGTTCGAGGCATGCCGGTGATCTTCATGGAACGAGTTTGCATGTTCTTTTTCTCCCGAATCCAGCAGATTCATTGAATAATCTAAAATTCCCTTACGTGTGAATGTGTGAGTAAATGTGTGCCCTACGAAAGACTGTCGAACTGTACAGGGTGTACCACTGCCTCGTCGATCTGCACAGGAGATCTTGTGACCCCGACTGGGAATAAGCGGGTTTTAACTTTTCAGAGTTATTAATAATCTCTCTGGAACAACATTGTTAATGTTCCAAATGTGGAACAAGTAAATGTGTTCCAATTTCATTATGTTGGATGGAAAAATAGCCATTTATAGACAATAGGCAACACAAATCCAGCTTTATACTCTTCTACAGAGACTTTGACCCAACAGCTGATAAAAACCACAAAAAGTGCCGAACACAAACATTATTCTAGACAACGAAGGAACCAAGTGGGTGGGGTGTAATTTTATCACTTATTGGGTTAATTTAACACTGTTGAATCAACTTTATAAAATAACCCTGGGGCAGAGCAACAATTAACTCTGAATGTGTTAAAATAACTTTTGAACAGAATTTCAAAAGCAACTCAGAAGGAATTAACATTCCAAAATAAACTCTCCATTTTTTCCCTGTGTGACTAGACACAATGGGTCAGGTTTGGGAAAAGAACTTACGTAATCTAGGTGGCGCAAAAGCAACTCCTGACATATTGATCTCGAAATATCATCAGGCAAAGTAATAATCAATCAGGACACATAAATAACCAAGCTACTAATCCATTAATGAAACAGCTTTTAAAAAAAACGATCATCTCATCAGCATGTAGTGGAAACTTAACGAGAAAAATAGTTTCTTGAATGTATTTCGCTCTCATTGGAAACCTTCGAAATGAGCATTGTGTAATCTGTTTGTCTGCATTTGTTTGCGTTTAGTCATCCTGAAGTGAAAAACCTTTGTGCAAAGCAGGTTTAAGATTTATTACACTGCTGGAGTGTGGGTGTATGGATCTGATGTTGTATTTTTACATGTTTGAAGAAGAGTAGATGATTCTGACCTACTTTCTCTTTTCCATAGCTCTGCATTGCTGTATCTCTCTCTCTCTCTCTCTCTCTCTCTCTCTCTCTCTCTCTCTCTCTCTCTCTCTCTCTCGTTCTCTCTTGCCACTGCACCCCCACTGGCCTACCTTGTGTCACACATTCTTCCAGTCTCTGTGTATTCTGAGCAGGCAGAGAGAATATGATGGAGGCTTTGCTGGCTCTTGTTCCAGTACATCCATCTGTGAGACTCACCTGCTCTGCATTTCCTCCCTCTTTAACCGTGTTCTTTTCATCCAATACTCCCATCACTTTCTAAACACAAAAGACTCTGTCAGTTCTAAAGCTAACTATAGGTCCATGCTTTGTAATTGGTACTAATATTTCCATTGTACTTTACATTAATTAAGCAATTATTGTTATCATTATCCATTATGTGTATTGGTTATTATTATAGTGCCTGCATAATGGTACTAATTGTACGAGTTGGCTCGATTCTGATGTGACAACTGGTTGACATTTTTTTTGCACAGCTTTTTATTGAGGAAAGAAAAAGTAGTAAATTTAATGGTTCGGAAACTAAGAAACTTTTGACATTTAAGAACCGATGGAAAAGGACTCGACATGTTTTTGTTTTATTAAAACTGTGCTTGTAGCAGAGCCCGTGTCAAAGTGACCTGACACAAGTTACAGATACATGCTAGTTGAGGACTTTGGACACAAGTCTTCAACTAGTAGTTTGGATTAACTAGTTAATCCCATAATTTTTTGCAATTGATCACAATTAAAAGACTATTCGGATATTTAAATGTAAATACTTGCAGTGGGTAGCACTATGGCCTTCCAGTTAGAAGGTTGTCAGTTCGAGGCTCGCCAGTGACCTTCCTGGAAGGAGTTTGCATGTTCCCCCGTGCTTGCATGAGTTTCCTCCAGGTACTCCGGTTTCCCACCAGAATCCCAAAAACATGGGGTTAGATTGATTAAAAAATTAAAAATCCCCTTAGGTGTGAATGTGAGAGTGAATGTTGCCCTGCGATGGACTGGCGACCTTTCCAGGGTGTACCCCTGCCTCTCATCTAATGTGCACGTTAGATGGGCACCAGCAGACCCCCGTGACCCCGAAAAGGGGATAAGCGGGTTGAAGAATGAATGAATAATAATGAATAATGTAAACTGAAAACAAAGAAACTATTTCAATTAAAATCTCATTATTTATTTATTTTTTTTAACCTGCAATAAACCATCAATATACCCAAAATTAACTATTTTTATTAATATTGTTTGAAAGCAATATTTATTATAGTCTATTGATCACAAAAACAAGTAATATAAACACAAAAGTAAACATAAAAGACCCTTGTAGAGAACACCCAAATAACTTTTAATGACATTACCTGACCTCTGATCACATGATCAAGGCGGAGACTTTCCTGTGGCTCAGCTGGTAGAGCATTGCGCAAAGGTTGCGGGTTCAAATTGC